AATAGACAATAGTGAATTATTATATTTTTAAATCCATGCTTTTCTGTTTAAATTAAGTAACACAATTTACAGAGTCGACTACATCCTGGTCCTCAGTTTTACCAAATATGTCATCGTGCTTGTGTATCGTGTCGTGGCAGGGCTGGACAGGGTGATGTTATCGTACAGTAAGCCGTGAGGTGAGGGATACATCCGCGAACGTGATCCTGGACATGTACAACTGTTTTAATTTTTTCTTATTAGTTCAAAATTTACTGAATGTATTAAACTAGAATACGCGCCAATAGACTTTTTGCTGATTATTGAAGTGCATCAACATACATCATCGCCCACTACTAACTTTGAATATACTCCAATAATAGCTTAAGTGAAGTAATCCACACAACAACAGGAACACAACACCCAGGTTACCTCGCTAAAGGTTGTAACGTTCAGTGAACTTTCAACTGCACGCTGTTTCCTTCCTGAGTTGGAAAGTTTCTCGTCTGACTTTTGTTTACCTAGTTTTCTACCTACAGTTTATTTACATTATCTTACCTACTTTGAGCTGACCTGAGGTATCACTGTTATTAAGACTCAACTGCTACCCTTAAATAACCTTTATTTTATTTTCCTGTTACCGTAACGTGATCTAACCCAACCTAACCGAATTTAACTTAACAAACCAAACCTAACCTAACTTAAATCCAACCAACTTTATCTAGCCTTACTCTTTGTCTGTAGTAGGTAGTAGGCACTAGGCAGCTACCAAACAGGAAGGTACTACCGCCTGGGAAGATATTGGAAGCATAATGTGTTGTCTAATGGTGGACCCCACTGCCATATGGCATCACAAAAATTGTGACCAAGTCCCTGGTTGCTGATCTGACTTTCTGTCTCATTTGCACACAAATGCCGGGACTGTCTCCTGTTCAAGAAATGAACCTCGGCACCCCTCAAGATGGAGTCCTGAGTCCCACCTTGTTTAACACTCTGATGCACTCAATTGCATCTCTCCCGTGGCCGACAGAAGTTGTCCACTCAGGATATGCCGACGATGTCCTCCTCCAAGCCCCTGACTACCTCAGCATGCAGGAAACCCTTGATCTGGTCTCCAGAGAGTGTGATTCACTTGGTTCCTTCTTTCAACTGCGAAAACAAAAGCCATGTGGCACGGTCGTGTTGTACCTCCATCCCTTCTCTTATCAGGAACACCCTTGGACTGGGTTAATGAGACAAAATACCTGGGTGTGTATGTAACTCGCACACGTTGTCAGATCCCTGAAGTCCGCTATCTTCGAGACATATGCTTTCGGCGTCTCGCTCCCCTCTCTACCATGTGCAGGGGTTCCCTTGGTGCCACCATCCCTGTACTTCTCACCATGTACAAGTCCTTTGTCCGTTCCTGTGTCGACTACGCCGCCCCTGCCCTCGTCAACATTAGTCGGACTGCTGTCAACCGTCTTGAAGTTATCCAGAGGAAAGCTGCTCGTATCATCCTTGGGGCTCCTCAGTGGACACGCTCTACTTCTCTATATACCGAACTTGGTCTTTCCCCCTTACAGGATCGTGTCCAGGAGTTTTACCTAAAAACTGCCGTTTCCATTCTACGGGATCCTCGGGGCAACTATGTCCAAACCAACTTGACTCCTGCTGTCCGAGACCGACCTCCATCTAGAAGACAGTGGCGAGGGTCACTCATCCGAGCCCTTCAGGAACACGACCTCCTGCCTGATATTGTTGTCACCCCTGCTGTTGGTTCGTCTCCTTTTCCCTGGCTGGATTTTCAATCTGAAGTGATTGCCCTCGATGGACCGCTTCCGAAATCCCAGGTGAACCCTGTTATTCTCTGCAAATACCACCTCTCCAGGATCGCCCACTGGTCCCCAGGTAGGGTCATCCTCTACACTGATGGTTCTGTTGACCCCGCTACAGGTAGGGCCGGGCTTGGTGTCTACATCTTCCGTCCTGATGCCCCTGAGCCTATCAAACTGTCTCTCAGAGTTTCTGACGGGGCATCCTCCACGCAGGCTGAACTAATAGCCCTCCTTGCTGCCCTTCTCGCTGAGGAAGAAGCAGATGGTTTCTGCCCCTTGCTTGTCTGCTGCGATTCCAGGTCTGCTCTCGACGGGATCGCATTTGGATCAGGGGAAAATAAGGACCTCATCCTAAGAATACGAGGGTTAACATCTACACTTCAGGATGCAGGCCGTCCTGTGACATTCCCATGGATACCCAGTCATGTCGGTATCTTGGGGAATGAGGCAGCAGATGACCTTGCCAAGACTGGCTGCAACAAGGCCACACCTGACTACGTTGTTCCTCGAACACTCTGACAGATTAGGACCCAAATTCGCCGCAAACAGAGAGAAGCTCGGGAAGCAGCCATCCCCCTGGACTCCCCGCCCACCTGGTACGATGTCCTCCGTAAACTTCCTGACCTCTCGTACGTCTACGGGAAAGGGTCGCGGAAAGGGGACGTGATTGCTGCCCGTATCATCATTGGGTATGAGTTTGCTTGGGAGATTGGTATCCCCGCATCCCCTGAGCAACGCTCTTGTGCATTATGCAGAAGACCCGACAGCAGCACCCTTATTCCACTACCTCCTAAGATGTCCCCACACACAACGCTTCCGTGACGCCTGCTGGACCACCACTCCACGACCCCCTGACGGAGACACGATGATCCTCCCCATACTGGCCAGATATTTTGTAAATAATATTGATTATGTGTTAAAGGAATATCCTTCCTTCCTTAGGCTTTAGTAAGCCCCTTTATAATATTTATACTGTATATACTTGTCACACTTGCCAGATGCTTCTGGTGTCATTGTACAGGGGTACCTAGTGACAGCACTAGGATCCCGCTTCCTCTATTAAGGAATAAACAATTGAAATTGAAATTGAATGCCGGGACTCAATTGTTTCTCTTACTATTGATAACACAACATACATACTGTATATTGTTTCCCACTCGTGATATTTTTATTAATTATTATTATTATTATTATTATTTTTTATAATGTTTTTATTATTATTTTCTTTTATTAAAATTATTTATTTTTATATATTTGTATTAATTTTATTACTATTAATATTATTATCATCATCATCATCATAATTATTCTTATTATTTTATTATATTTTTGCCCCCCCCCCCAGGCCTTGATGTGGGTGTGAAGGTGTGGAGCAACTTACCCCCACCCATCCATGCAAAGACTACGCTCCCTTCCTTTAAATCATCTCTTAAAAAAAATACCTATTGTCAAAGTATTAATATTTCTTGTAATACCTACTATATTTACAGTACCTGCTTTTATTGTACCATCAAAGCCGTTTTATCGGAAATTATCATGTAAATAGATACTGTAAGTAATTACCATTGCAATAAATATATTTGCCAACTAGACATAATCCTGACAGCTCTGTCCTCTTGTTCAACCTTAATACTGTACAACCCATGTTGGACTGCTCCCCCATTATACTTATGTTTTTCAATTCCACTTTAATTTATGTATATACTTATAATAAAAAATAAATAAAATAAATAAATAAATATTGAAGTGATAACCGTGGTAACATTCTGAGGTGTTCTTATTACCACCATGCTATGTGTACTATTCGAGATGTTATTAAATGTTACATAATACTTCCTTGAGATAAATGTATAGTATATATCAAGTGCCTACAGGAGAGCTCAGGTTCTCAACTGGCTCAGCCATGTTAATATTGTTATTATTATCCATTCTGTATCTCTGTTTTTCTGGCTAAATAAACTGTTTCATTTCAATTTCAATTCAGTTAAAAATGACCATTGCCCGGGCGGATATAACAATATCCATATTTCCTTACGCAAAATGTTAAATTATGTCAAATTGAGGAACACAAAATGGTACACTTATCCATTAAACTGTTTTGTTGACGTTCTTCCGTGTGTGTGCGTGTTATTTCCGGTGATATTTGGGTAACGTAGTATAATATTAACTAACCTAGTAATGTTTAGTTATGTTAAATTAAAACTCAACCACCACATTGCAGACTTTTCAACAACTGCTATTTATTAACTACGATCCAGGGCCACATTAGAATTAGAATGATTGGTTGCCTCATTAACTGGTCGCTCACGTCACCCTCTTGAACATGAAGCTTGGAGAACATATCAGATTAAATTCTGTTTATTTTTCATAGGATGACATTTTGTTTATATTATTATTATTGCTATTATTATTAATCTTTACTTATAGGAAAATTTAATGCCGGAACAATTTATGAAACGTCTTAAGTTTTATATTGCCGAACACACACTGGCGGGCCATCTGGCATTTCCTGTGTGCTGACAGTTACTGACGTCAGTGTTATCAGCCTATCTGATTATATTAGATTGTGTTGGAACAGCTGCCATTTAGCAGGTGTTTGGTGTAAGAGAATCACTATTATTTTGTTTTACACTGAGAAGCGTTAATGCTCCATGTTTTTTTTAACATAACCTGACCTGACAACCTAACTTAATCTAACCTGATTTAACCTAACCATATCTGACTTAACCTAACCTTAACCCAACCTGAATTTACCTAATTTTCAATTAACAATGTTTGGCTAGGCTACGTACGGTCACTTTTTGTTAGCTTTTGTTAGTCTGGGCTAGACTAGGCAAGACGTAACTATATTAGTTTAACAACGTTGACATTCTTAGTGTAGGCCGCGTTAAGCTACTTTGGTTAGGTTAGGTCAGGTGAATCTACCGGTGGTTTAACACTTAGAGAACGATGGTTTAACTCCCCGAGGACGATGGTTTAAAACTAATAAAAATTTATCGACGTTTTCTACGCAGCACCACGACTTAGTTGTGTACAGTAGTGGCCAGAATTTCCATCTGTCGTCGCAGGTGAATTTCCTCAATTTTCCACTGCAGGTAGATGTATATACTGTAGATCATGCGAAGAAGTTTCTTTTTTAACGAGTTGTGAGTAATATGTTAAATTAGCCAGGTAATGTGCGAATGCTTTAGTAAAAACCTCTCATAATTCTCAGTAATATTTCTTAATTTGTACCACATTTCGTATTTTTTTCATTAATTTTCCATTGTTTTAAGTCAATGTATTCTGGTTAAAGATATTAATAGATTAAGACTAAATAAAGATGGTAATAATTATTACACTACCTACAGTATAGTGTTTAACCTTGTAACACCACTGCCAGACGTAGTGTGTCCAGCAGCGTGCCCAGGATGAAGTATTATATCGCGCACTATACTAACCGACTTAGCCTACACTTGCCAAGGGTGAAGTGAGTTACGTGAAACATGTGTAGTTTCTTTCCACTGAACTAATTCTGCTGTTTTTTTTTTTTACGTTACACATAATGTTGTACGTGCCTGTAATGTACTTCACTATAGGGACTGATCGTGTCATCTACCCCGACAGTCTATAGTGATAGAATATACAGTATACAGTGTGTGTTAACTCTTCTCACTTTTGGATCAAGAGGCACAGCATAGAATGAACAGAACTAATGGGAAGTGTTGCAAGAGTTGTATAGAATGCGTAAGACAAGTGTGAAGGTATCTCTACATACTAACTGTACTTGCTGGCATCTCCTGTGTATAAACTGAATCATTACTTGATGCTAACTGTCTACACTAATCTAATCTAAGTGATAAGGAAGGGGCCAGAACTCAAGATACTCCTTAAGGTTATGTAGAGTTCACTGAAAAAGTAAAAAAGTGTTTATTAATAAAACACAGTAGAATATATAAATATATCTAAATATATATATATATATATATATATATATATATATATATATATATATATATATATATATTTTGATAATAACAATAGTATATCACTAAATATATCAACAGTAATATTGCAGAATATATTTATATTTTGAATTATGTTAAGGCATAACTTTAAGGGTCAATAATATAAGGTGAGAATGATGATGATGATAATGAAGGGCTTAGGGCACTTAACGACACATGATGGATGGTTTAGAAACATGTGTATAATAAAAATGGATAATAATGTGACGATCCTAAATACAAAGAAGGCCACTGAGGATGATACAGTACAGCGCGGAGGTGTGGTGACAGTCGTAGTGATGCACGTTTACAGGGCTAGGGCGCCCTTCCTGGCGGTGGCGAGGAAGGCGGTGGTGGAGGACCAGGCTGGGGTGGCAGAAGGGACGGGGAGGGCACGTTTCGTGTTGGGGAAGTGTATGCGGGTGGGGGCGGAGCCCAGGGGGTAGTACTGGTGAACCAGGCGGTCCTGTTGCACCTTTACCACCCGGTACCCCTGCTGACTCTCCCCCAACTGGGCCCCCACTGCAGACGTCACTACCACCTCCAGGTCCTTGTAGAACCCTCCGGCGTTACGGTGGTAGTGGCCACAGAAGATGGAGCGCACACCAGCGTCGTAGAACTTATCCAACATGGCCTGGCGCAGGCCCAGGTCCATGTTGAAGTACTCCTTGTCCTCGTCAGGGTGGTGGAGAAAGAGAGGGATGTGTTGGAAGACGACAGCATGCTGTGGTTTCTCCCTCTTCACCACCTCCAGCTGCTCCTCCAGCCACGCCTCCTGTTCTTCCGCCAACTGGGGACACTGGGAGGCATCCTCATAGAACTGTGTGTTGAGGACGATGAAGAACACACCGCCGCACCAGAAGCTGAAGTAGTCGTCGCCGAAGGAGGAGGTGTAGCGGTTGACGGTGGCAGGAGTGGGTGTGTTGCCCACGTCATGGTTGCCGCACACACACACCAGGGGCACTTTAAGGCCGGCGAATACCTCCTTGAAGTCGATCTCCTGCTGGCGACGAATCTCCTCCTCTGTGTGGGGCCAGGCGTCCAGCAGGTCGCCACACACCACCAGGAACTTGGGACGCGGGAACATGGTATTCACGTCCTCCACCATCTGTCTCGACCACCTTATCTCCTGCTGCCACCCATAGTTCTCCTTCTTCTCTATGTACTTCTCCTGCATCCCGAACTGTGTGTCCGCCGCCTGGATGAACACGAACGGCTCCTGCCACTCCTTCTCCTCCTCCGCGAAGAACGGCAAGAACTGCCGGTTCTGTGCAAGCACCAAGAACTTGTTCTCCTCCATACTGCTTCACCGACGACCACTGCCGTCAAGTTGTTTCTCGAAGGATGAGCTTGACTGTTTGATGATGAACGACTAGTGTCACTTGTCTAGTAACTACTTAACAAAAGTAAACTCGTCTTGACAAATTACTTTATGATGGTGCTGTAACTTGACGAGGGAGGTTTGACGGCTCCAGTACTCCTTACAAAAAATAGAATCTGCTTGAGTAGTTACTTTTTAAAGATGGTGTAGTAGTTACTTATGATGATTGAAGGTGTTCCCCGGGGGCGTGTTGCTAGGTCAAGCTAGTACTTGATCCCGTGGGACACCGGGAACTTGTCGTGGCAGCCATGAGGTGGAGGTGTGAAGATATGTTGTTTCTAAGACCGCACTCAGGAACCTTGCCTGGTGTGGGAGTAGACGCTGTTGCTGTCTGTGGTCTGACGCTCGCACTGCCGATCCCGATTTTAAATAGCGGCAGGGTGTGTCGACCAGCCCTTCCCTCTACCAATGAGCGCAGAGCTCTTTCGTGACGTCACAGCCAGTGTGGAGGGGAGTGGGTGACTTTCATTCACTCGTCCGGTGATCGTCGCTGCCCTGGTCGATGACGTGCGCAGTACGTAGAGTTGTCCAGTAGTTTTTAAAGTTTGTTCGCGTTATCTCAGCAGTGTAAGATAGAATGAGTTTGTCACAGTTAGTGGCCGGCGGGAACCAGCGGAGTAGAACACTGGTGTTTGAAGATATTTTAAAAATAGTTTTACAACTAAATTTCTTGATATCCTGGCAATATTTTTTGTGATATATTAACGATATATCTATTAACAAGAACTTAAGAGCAAGAACCAGCTGACGCAACATGTAGTACGTTGACGGTTCTACAACTGCGCAAGGCGGACGCTTGTGACGTTAGTTAGATGTGACGCCACGGCGCTGTACACCGTCACCTTTAAGGAGAATCCAACAGCAGGCAAGAACCTAAATGTAGGAAAATAAACGAAACAGGACAATAATTAACTTTTACAACTAATTTTGTAAACCCTTAACAATTAAATGAATATATAAACTATACAAATTATGTCTACTGCCGACAACGAAATTACCTGTATACATAAACTATACATATTATACATACTGTATATACTGTCTTCATTTAATACGTTTGTTTTAATAACGTGACTTACTGTAAATACGAACTAATAAAGAAAACTTGAATAATCTTAACATTGAAATTTTTGAAAGTACATTTAAACATAGGAGTTAGTTAAGGTTATTATTCTTAGTTAAGTTATCCAGTTTACTGAGGTAATAAGACTTTAGATACATGATACCTTAGTAAACTTTTTAATCTGCCAGTGTTTAAAGTTAATGAAGGGACTATTATTATTATTATTATTAGCTAACGGGGTATTTTTATTTTAAACCGATAGATAGATTAATCGATAAAACTATTCGTAAATTCATAAAGTAAGGATAGTAATTTTAGCTCTATAGAAGTTAACGTATATATAATGGTGCAAATAGGATAAAGAGTGAGAGAGGGGAGAGGGAAGGAGAGAGAAGGGGCAGAAACAAGAAGAGAAAATTTATAACACACTTACAGCCTCACAGCGACACAACACGGAATTAATGTCCTGACCTCTCTTGCTGGTAGATCCGTGTTGTGGTTTGGATATCTTTAGTTTGCTGATGAATATTCCAGTGATGAATATTCCAGTTATCTGATGAATAGTGCAGTTAGCTGATGAATAGTTTTAGTGATAAATATTCCAGTGTTGAATATTCCATTTATCTAATGAATATTGCAGTGATGAATATTCCAGTTATACTCACGAATATCTATGCCTCTCACTTTTGAATATTTGAACTATACCTCTAAATGCACTTTGGTACATCTCCTCTGTAATAATCTTGTCTTCTCGTTTTGAATACATACGAGTCAACTATGGCGTATATACTCGTTGAAGTTCGTCTTGTACTAAAGATCGTTGGAATATATAATAACATGTTAGTTTACTTGGCCATATATATATACCTTGATGTCCGGTATTATATACTCGTATATGTGAATATCGTTACACTATATAATCTCGTACGCTTATAGTAATGCGCATATCTGGACTTTTAGAGGTTTGTATATACGAATTTTTCCCGGTACTTCGGCGTATACACCTTGAGAGTGGGTATTTGTATATGCTGTGTATACTGATTTGTATATACCCGCAGCTCGCCAGACAGACACTCACACAAACACACACAGTTGATCAGAACACGGGTGAAACTACGCTTTAAAATGAGCGCAAAAATCACCCTCCCAGAGTGTCTTATTAAACTGCTTTGTGGTGTGCCGTGTCGTGGCGTCTCCTGGCGTGGCGGACCGACGCACCTACACTATCCGCGCTTAGCCAACTACTCCTTCTTATATACCCATTCGTGTTAAGCTAAAAAAAAACACCAGGAAATAGGCAAGTATAGAGAGAGCGAGATGGTTGCAAAATTGGGGAAAAAATCGGAACTAGACAGATGATTGCAAAATTGACCCTCGTCTCCTCCTGTTCCTCATTCCCCCAAGACAAGGTCACTTCCGTACGTGACCTACAAAATTGGGTTATATAATAAAGGGGGCGATAAGGTCTGTGTTATCACTGGAAAAGTAATGGGGTGTTCGATCTTATGAATGTGTGTGGTTTAGTCTTGTATTACCTCTAGGGTCTGGAACTGAAATACAGTACAGGTATATGCAATGATAATTTTTTTTTTTATTGTTTATGTTTTGAGGATATTGTTACCTGTTGCTGGGGTTAGTTGTGTAGTTAAGTGATTTATGGATATACTAATTGGCTAATCTGCTTCCTGGAAAAATAAATTCAATCTTATGGTAGTTAAATTATTGCTATACCATTTTCTGATTTGATCTGATTTCATTAATATTACTGTATTGTTCGTGACGTTTACTGGCTCAGTCTCTTTTGAACGTTACTTTTATCCTCTTCGCTACTGATCAGCGTGTGTGAGGTTTGCTTTTTAATAGGTGTGGGCCGTGTGGCTTAATAATTGTTTTCTTGTTAGACGAGCTAATACTTCAATCATTGTTGTACAGATTTCGAAGTCATATGAAAATTTTGTATGGCATGTGTGCGTTTGTGGCCAGATTGTTCACAAGCACGTTTGGTTTTAAAAACTTGAGACCTGTTTGTGTTAGTGGCCAACCAATTACGACTGAAGTTTACTGAAGGCTTACATAACTTCCCTTTGTTACTGTCACCTGTGTATATATTTCCTTTAAGCCCAGACAAAGACAGGAGCACCGTTCGGGTCGCCAAAATGTCTGGCTACGGCTCTGGTAGGGGTAGTTATGGGAGCGTCTACTTAAAGGTTCCAATACAAATTAAGTTGTTCAGGTGTGTGTGTGTGTTAAGAATCAGCCGACACTGATGTTTGTATCCCGTTTAGCACACTCTAGACCTCCCAGTTGTAACGAAATAAATAACTGGGGTAATTATATTAATTAGACGATAATAATAATAATAATAATAATAATAATAATAATAATAATAATAATAATAATAATAATAATAATAATAATAATAAACAATTTCTTGAGAGAAAATAAACAAAATGGTAAAAAATATACCGTAGACAGAGATGACATACATAACATACACTATACTATATACAGGGCCGGATTCAGGAGTGGGCAAAGCGGGCAGCTGCCCAGGGGCCTCCACAATCTGGAGGCCTCCACATATTACAATATTTTATTTATTTGTTTATTCATTGGATTATTTTTATTTTCATTCTTTAAAATTTATGTTTATCTATTCCAATATTGCTTCAAAATTCTTCAAAGAAGTGTTCAAATTTCAAAATTTTCCCGGGGGGCTTACAGCGCCCTCCGGAACTCCCAGATGTTTAGGCTCGCTTCACTCGCCACCCCACCCTCTTGCGTAGTTATAATGAGGGGGGCCTCCACAAAGAGGCTGCCCATGGGCCTCCACAGGTCTAAATCCGGCACTGACTGTATAGTGACATTGGGGAGTGGGTCAGCTAACAGAGTTTATAGAGCAAAAAGAAGTGGAAACACGAGGTGACCTTACAAGTTACAGCTGTAGTGTCGGACAGCTCTAAGTAGACGGGGATATGTCTGAAGACGGCTGGTAATGAGGTTGGTGTGGCAACTCTGTCCCGAAACTGATAGCTGGAAACACGATGAAGATCAGAGGGAGCTGAGAGGGCCAGTGTACTGAATGCCTCTTGATAGGATTCCTCTTGACACTGTTGTCCAGGGATATTGTCTTGCTTTACAGTAGACACAATGGCTGTACAACTTCACTTTGTAGGGTGAAGGCGACCCCACGTTCACCACTAGGTACTTCCTCGTACAGATGTATTCATTGTCCACATTGCTTGTTACTCTTGTATCAGCTGCGGAGATATCATCAATCCTAGCACAGGTTTGTTGATGACGAGGAGGAGTTGAGGGGAAGGAGGTGGGAAGGGATCGACCTGTTGAGTCACAGGTATTGTCAGTTAAGAGCGCCGGGAGTTTCCATAATCCATGGAAGTGCCCAAGTACCACAACTTGTCGTTTTAAAGAAACAAAAGAACAGCAATTTCCTCTTCCTTCCCCCTAAACCTTTTTATCCCTTCTCCTCCTCTTGCTTGATTCCTTCCTCCTACCTCTTCTTTCATCCCCCTCTTCCTCTTTTTTCCACCTCCACTCCTCCTCTTCCTCCTCCTCTTCTTTGTTCCTCTCCTCCTCTTCTTTGTCCCCTCCTCCTCTTCTTTGTTCCACTCCTCCTCTTCTTCGTCCCACTACTCCTCTTCTTTGTTCCACTCCTCCTCTTCCTCCCCCTCTTCTTTGTCCCCCTCCTCCTCTTCCTCCTCCTCTTCTTGTCCCCCCTCCTCTGCCTCCCCCTCTTCTTTGTCCCCTACCTTCTCTTCTTTGTCCTCCTCCTCCTCTTCTTTGTTCCCCTCCTCCCTCTGCCTCCCCCTCTTCTTTATCCCTACCTTCTCTTCTTTGTCCTCTTCCTCCTCTTCCCTCACCCCCTTCTTTGTCCCTCCTCCTCCTCCTCTTCTTTGTCCCCTCCTCTTCTTTGTCCCCCTCCTCCTCTTCTTCGTCCCCTACTCCTCTTCTTTGTTCCCTCCTCCTCTTCCTCCCCCTCTTCTTTGTCCCCCTTCTCCTCCCCCTCTTCTTTGTCCCCCTCCTCTTCTTTGTTCCACCCTCCTCTTCCTCCTCCTCTTCTTTGTCCCCCTCCTCCTCTTCCTCCCCCTCTTCTTTGTCCCCTACCTTCTCTTCTTTGTCCTCCTCCTCCTCTTCTTTGTCCCCCTCCTCCTCTTCTTTGTCCCCCTCCTCCTCTTCCTCCCCCCTCTTCTTTGTCCCCTACCTTCTCTTCTTTGTCCTCCTCCTCCTCTTCTTTGTCCCCCTCCTCCTCTGCCTCCCCTCTTCTTTGTCCCTACCTTCTCTTC